GACAAGCTGAACTGCCGAGCTCCAAGTTCAGCAAGAGAGTTTCCCTTAGAAAAAAAACCTGGTGGGTAACTGAGGAAAGACATTTGACACCTACCTCTGGTTTCCACATGCAGACACTTCCATGTGCACTCCCCACACACATGTGCACACACATATACCACACATTCACATAAGAGAAACAATGGAAAACAAAACTTAATCAACATCTTGGTTTTAGCCCCTGGCTCCCAAACACAGATGTTTGTGTATCTAGATAGAAACACACAAGGAAATGTATCTAGACAGAAACATACAAGGAAATGTACAACGTCCACACCAGTCCCTGTTAGCCCTGTAGCCAAGGGGTCTACTCATCTAGCAAAGGCAAGTGAGTCAAAAGCAACAAAGTCATCTTATATTCCTTTAAAGGTTGTTCAAATAAAAATTTGCAACAATGTGAATGCATGGACACCTTTGCCCTGCCATGTCCCTGAGCTAGAGAAGCAGTGACCATGTGGAGATTAGCCTCTGTGGGTAACCTTCAATGGGCAAGCCTGGGTCCTGCCTTCCCGTTAGCAATCTGTAGCCAGAGTGCTAGGGGGTTGGGGTGGCCATGGGTCTCCTCGGCACAGGAAGCAGGATGAAATCTTGATTTGGAGTCTCACAGGAATCTCCATACAAAGCCACCTTGTTCCTGTCTCCAAGGGAAATGCTCCACTCTGAGAAAGAAACACTTAGCCACAGCCAGGCAACTGAGTGAGCCCCTTCTGCACTTTTCCTCGCTTCTGACACTTTTCATTCTAGAATGGCCACAAGACAGTTTTGTGAAGACCTATTCCAGCTGGGAGGTGGTTTTTCGCAGGACCTGGGACATCAAGTAGAGCCCCAAGCAGAGGCTGAAGAGGGCACCTGGGACGTGTTCCTTCACAGTGAGAAGTCTCTCCTAGACCTGGGCAGTGACTCAGTCACCAGTTAGGGTGGTTTCTGGATCAAAGAGCCCCGTGGGTACCCTTTGGGGAAGAACTATTTTGCAACATTGAAAAAGTCTCCTGGGCTGGGGAGATAGCTCAGTGGGTTGGGGTATTTGACACCAAGCTTGATAACCTGGGTTTGGTCCCCAGAATCCACATCGTGGGAGGAGAGAACCAGCTTTTTCCAGTTGTTGTCTGACCTATACATGTGGGCTGTGGTATGGACACTACCCCCGCCCTGAAAATTAAAAAAAAATAATAATAAAATACAACAATATCTAAAATTGTGCTTTCTACTCCTTGGCTACACAAATTCTTTGGGCTGGTTTTCTTAAAGCAGAGCAAATGCTCCTACATTGAAAGGGGTGTCACTCATGTATGTGAGAAGGAAAGGCCCTAAATGGACTTGCTTCTTACAGGGAAGTAAATGTGCATCACTCCAGGCAAAGATTCCAGAAACCAGCCACCTCTTTCCTCATTCCACTTGCCTGTCACACTCTGACCATTGACACCCAGTCCTGAAGAGAAGAAATGGAGTCAGAGAGGCCAGTTGAGAATAGGGAAGAAGTCAATCTGGATTCAAGGCCCCCAAATCATTAGGAGGCTAAAATCAAGCAACCCTCCCACTTAGTTTTCTCCTAGAAGTTTGTTGATTTTAATTCTTACACTTATTCAGTCAGTTTTGAGCTGGTGTGTGTGTGTGTGTGTGTGTGTGTGTGTGTGTGTGTGTGTGTGGTGTGAGATAAAGATTCCATTTTATTCTTTTGCATGTGGTTATCCAGTTTTCACAGAGTACTTTACTGAACAGGCTACCATTTTCCATTATATCTTCTGGATACCCATATCAAAAATTAGTTGATTTTATACCCTCAGGTTCATTTCTAGACTCTCTTTTCTGTTTCATTGTTCTTCATATGTATGGTTTTATGGCTATATCCTTCTGTTTTGGTCACCATCATTTTGTCATGTAGTTTGAAATTAGAAAGTATGATGGCTCTAACTTTCTTTTCTTTCTCAAGATTGCATGGAATTTTTTTAAATGTTGTAGCTGTTATGATTCCATATAAGTTTTAGATGTTCTTTCTATTTCTATAAAAATGCCACTGGAATTTCAATATAGATTACAGGTAGTCTGAATCCCACTTTGAATAGTATGGAAATTTTATGAGCATGGGAGGTATTTGCATTTACTAATGCCGTCTATGTCTTTTATTAATGCTTTATAGTTTTCATGTATGGATCTTTGACTTCCTTGGTAAGTGACTTCTCCAATAGCTGCTCTACTTGCCTCACATAGCTGTTTGATTTGAAGATCCGGTAGAAGCAGAGTGGGAAACCCTTTGGACAAGTGTTGTTGCTGAGTGAAAGCACCCATCTGACTGCTCCAATTGTTCTCTTTTTGTTTTTGTTTTTTTGTTTTTTTGAGACAGGGTTTCTCTGTGGCTTTGGAGGCTATCCTGGCACTGTCTCTGGAGACCAGGCTGGTCTCAAACTCACAGAGATCTGCCTGCCTCTGCCTCCTGAGTGCTGGGATTAAAGGCGTGTGCCACCAACGCCTGTCTTGTTCTGGTCTTTTATAAACACAGCCTAAATTCCCTCATAGAACTTCTGGTTTCAGGGCTCCTCCACTGTTCTGAGTAGAGGACAACTGTTGACCAGGTCAAACTCCATGTTTTGGTAAAGTGCTAAAGGTCCTATTGGTAGTTCCCACACAGATGTATCTATACCCTCAGAAGAAAAGCTTTGGGTCTTCTCAGTGAACTGGCTACCTCAGGAAAAAAAGATACTATTGGCACTTGTATTGACTGAGCACTTAGTATATGCCTTCTGCATTCTGTCCATTATCTCACTTATTATCTCCACAACAACCCTGTTATTATCCCCATCTGTCAGATGAAGAAATTGAGGTTCCAAGAGATGAAGTCACTTGCCCCAGGCCACACAGCTGTGTGTTTCCAAAGTTCAGTCTTTGTAATAAAGGTCAGCCTTAGAAACGGCATCTGGTTTTGAGAACCAAGGACTTCTTTTTTTTTTTAATCACACAATACTTCCTTCCACTCTACGGGAACCACTGAACTCCCATGAGTAGGGTTCTAACCTTCCCTGATCCCTATACCATTGGAGGCCATGGCTATTCGTGTGAAATGGTACAAGAGATGATAAAGATTTGAAAACAGGTACTTATCCTTCAGGAGCACCAGAAGGAAGTGAAGCAGACCATGGAACGGAGAGAATCAAGGCAGGCTTCTGAATAAACAGCAGTTGATCCATAAACACAATTACACTTCTACTCCTTCTAAGCCAATGGTTACTAGCGTTTTTTGAACATGGACCCTTTGAGAATTTGAGGAAAGTTGTGGACCCTGTCCTAGGAGGAAACGCTAAATGCAAACCCACAATTTTTCGCATAGTTTCAGAGAAATTTATTGAGTTTCTTGTATGCTGTCCAAGAGTAACAGACCCCAGGTTAAAAACTCCTGCTTTAATCGAACCCAATTCTATGCTTCAAAATGTAATAAATTAGAGAACAATGACTCCTTTAAATAACAAGGCAACCTAGGGCACAAAACCCAGGCTTTGCTTTATAAAGCTTTTGTTTTCAATGCCTAGTTGCCTGCATGAGGCAACTTAGCATCTCCTAGTCCCCTAGTTCCTTGTGAAAGGCACAAATGACCACTATTAGGCCTGGCCAGAAGACAGAAAGAGAAACTGTACATAGGCTGGTAGTAAATGTCTTTGGTTAGTAGAGTTGGGAAGCCAGCCACTTAATAGACAGAAGTTACTTCATTGGATGTAGACTGGGTGATGTGACCTTAACAGCACAGCCAGTACCTGAGGTCAACTGTTTTAATCTCTGCATAAAAGCAGTATAGATTTGACCACGTCTGTTCCTACTAAGCAACTGGCTGCTTCATGAGAGGCCAGGGACCTGATAGCAACAGTCTCAGTATACATTGGCTCACCCATCTACCTGAGTCGGCAGTCAGCTAGCTTTCTTACATTAGCCCATGTTATTCCAAATAGCAACTGTTAGTTCCTTGCCAACTAGAAGCTCCATTGTTCTTTCACAACAATATTAGATAATCCCAAGCCAAGTCATTCCAAGATAATTCCCCCCTGGCCTCTTGGATTGTGAGTAGACAAGGTCTTACTGTAATCTTTAGTAGAATTGTTAGTTACTGCCTGATATTTCTCCTAATCCACTGCCAATGTTTAAGCCTTCATATAAACAGTCACAATGACAGATCTGATGCAAATGTCCTATAGCACTTTCCTCTTTAAAGATTTTGATTTGAGAGAAGGAGGCTATGTGGCATGTTGGAAAGTACAGTGGACCCAGATCCATCATGCGTTACCTCCTTACTTCTCTGTGTCTCATTTCCCACCATTAGACAGCCAGCAGTGTCAGCTGGCATGGAAGGTCACACTTCCATGTGCTTGGGAAATTGAGGCAGGTCAACGAGCTACACAGTGAGTGTTAGGCCAGCCTGTGTAATACTGTGAGAGCCTGTCTCCATCGCACTGCAGAAAAGGACACTCTCTCTGCTTCTCTCTCTCAGGCAGGTGCCATGAAGGACTCCCAGGAAGAAGCTAACGAACCCGCAGATGATGTATTAACCAGTAAGCTTTTGAACACATGACAACTCACAACCATCATTTCACTTAAGCTTCCGACAACCCCAGGGGCCACACAAATCCTCATTGTTTTGTCATGTATTCATTTACTCTCTTCTCCCTCTCCTTCTCCTGTACTCAGAAAAACTTGTAGAGAGGCCATATTATGGTCAGGTGATGCATGCAGCCTGTGAGTGTTTTCTTTTGTGAGTACAGAGTTAGAAACAGATTTAGCAAAGAAAAAGAAAAAAAGAAAAAAAAAACACTTCAAAGCATATACTGCGGCATAGCAAAGAATTGGACTAGCCCCCTCTCCCCAGCCTCTTTCTTTCCCTCTCTCCTTTCTCTTCTCCTCCTCCCCCAGGCTACTTTTCCATGGCTCCAAGTTATTTGACCCCAAACATTCCCCCATTGTAATCAGAAGTCGTTACTCACTTTAAAAAAAAAGAAATCTTTGGCTCTCTGAGAATTCTGAGGCTGTCCTGTTTTCTCCGTGTCGAGCACGAGGAAAGGGGTAGGGAGAGGATGATGCAGGTCCCTTAATCGTGACTCTTCGATGCCTGGACTGTTCCAGTTATATATGGCTTTCAGGAGATGGCCGAGTATGTTCACCCTCTCCCTTTTCCCGCCCCCTTTCTAACTCTCAAGCTGCGCAGCGAACCTGCGGCGTCCAAACGCACCAGGTGTCTCCAACTCTCTAATTGAGCAAGGCAGACTCCTTCCCAGCCAAGAGTCTTGAAATATTTATCCACATTTTGGGTTCACTGGATTAATGCCTTAAGCTGGTGCGCAATCCCACTGAAGGTCAATGTTCTTGTCCTAATGTTGTCCAATGTCTGTGTGGTATTCAGACCTGAACATGATAACTTCCCTGCAGGGGGGCCAGCCCATGGCCACATTGTCCAATTTCTTAGAGAAGTATGCTACAGGTCTCTTCCAGGGTCCGAGCTGTTTTGTTAAGACCCCTTTTGCCATCCCAGCCTTTTTGTCCACATAAAGGGTGAAAGGCTTGTTTATGTTGGGGAGGCTTAGTGCAGCATAATGATTCAAGGTGGGCTCAGGATTGAAACTGCCTTGAGATAAAGCAGATCAGCCCCAATTCACTCTTGGGGGAAGGCCTCTGAGAAGGGGAATGTGCAAGGCCCCTCCAGTCAGAGGAGACATCCTCCCCCCTCTGCTTTGGGCTCCACCAGTTAGCAGATGGAGGCCCGTGCAAACGCTGGCCAGACCAAAATGGTGCCGAGACAGCCACGATATTGTTTAGAAAGAAAGAAAGGAAACATCTGCAAATGCTGCCTTGGTGCTGAGCAGGGACAGCCTCCTGCTTTTCCTCACGGGCCCATGGTGGGCTAGCTCCTGACTGATCAGAAAGGTTCCCTGAAAGAAATGCATCTGAAAGACATTTTCCATCCCCCCCCCCCCCCCCCCCCCCCACACTGGATGGCCTTTTTTTCTATCTCAGTTCCCCCAGCTTTTGCAGTAAGGCCCCAGTACCTTGGAGGCAGTCTTGTTCGGATTCCGCTGCCAGGAGGAGGTCATCTACGTACTGAAGCAGGATCAGGTTAGGGTTATGGATCCGGAAGTCTGCTAGGTCTTGGTGTAAAGGCCTCATCGAAAAGAGTTGGTGAGTTCTTGAACCCCTGGGGGAGCCGTGTCCAAGTGAGCTGGCCAGAAAACCCAGTCTCCTGGGTTCAAACGCGAACATGGGCTGGCTCTGGGGACTCGGTCTGAGGCAAAAGAATGCATCCTTAAGATCTAGCACCGTGTACCAGATGACTACATGGGCTGAGTCAGCAGGCTCAGCTTTAACCACAGCTGCTTTCACATGGTAAGTTAAGAAGACCAGTTAGTTGAGTGAGGAACACTTTGGCTGAAACACTTTGACAGCCTGAGCTCCCAAATCGGACGGCTAAAAACTAGAGGAATTGCAATTTGGGCATGGCTCAATACCTTTTTCAGTCCTTCTGGGTGGGCCTCAATTACTTTTTAGTATGTTTGTACTGCAGAGCATTCCAGAATGAGGAGAGACAGCAGTCTGTGTACCTTTAAGAGACCACTATGGTGCCACAGTGTGATCTTTGGCTTAGGATTTAAATCCTGGTTCTGTCAATAATTTGCTATATGACTATAGGGCAATTGTCCCCTCTCCCCAGGTCTTAGCATTCGTATATTTAAATTAGAGGCTTGGATAAGATCACTTCTAAGGGTTCTTCCTGCTCTGGTGGCCAGTGGAACAGTCAGGGACAGATGGCCAGCCACTCTTTCCCCAGTTTACCTGGGGAAAACACTGCAGAACCTGTTTTGGGAATCTTCTTCAGCTTTTTCCCACCTGTGGCTAAACATCTTCCCTGTGTCTGTCCACAGCCCGTTTTCTCTTGTTTGGACCTCCCTGGACACAGAGTACCCCAGGGGAACATTCTTTTCTAAAAATTCCTTTGGCAACTCTAAGAGCTTCAAGTCTGCATTCTGTTAAATCCTCTGTAAATGTGGGAGACAATTGCTTATGGCTGAGGTTTAAATGACCACACTTTCTCCCCTCATCAGAGAGGTTTTTCCATTCTTTTGGTCACTGGCACTGACTCATGAACCTAGGGGGACGAAGGCTGCCTGAGGTCCTCCACTGGATGTAACATTAGCTCTCAGGGAGAAGAAAAACCACATATTCCAGAAGCAGCCAGACGTTGCCCGGGAACACAGAGTTGTCCTAGGCCACAGAGAATCTTAGACACAGGAAAAGAGAATGGGCTTGTGTAATATAGCCTTATAAATTCTGCTATTCATCTCCCGATACGAGAGACCAAGGGTCACAGATAGCTGACATTGGCCAGAACACTTAATGGGTGTGCATCAGACATTGTCATGTGCACATTACTTGCTCATCTAATATTTAGCCCTGCTACTTTACTGCACAGTGTTATGGTCATCTTGTATTTTCTAGACGAAGAAACGGAGGTGCATAGTGGTAATGCATTTTCTCTAGGTGAAACAGGTGATAAACAGAGGAGCTGGAGTCATGGTCTAGATCAGCTGAGGGATGTCTGCTGTCACTCATCACCACTTCTGAGCATTGGCATTACAGGAAGAGTGAAGATGGTACTGATGAAGTTGACTGCCCCACCTGGCTCATGTTTCTGCATCTCTTGTAGAGGTTTGGTGCCTGCCTTGGTTTCTATGGACCCTTTTCACAGGAAGGAAAGAAAAAAAAACCAAAAAAACCTTTTCCCCTGCTGATCTGCAATACGTTCACTTTATGATCCTGGAATGAGTCGTGTTTTCCTCTTAAAGGGGAAACACAGAGAAAGGACACTGTATAAAACAACTTTCCCTGAAGCTAAGCAACTATTGAAAACTTAGCTCCATCCCTCTCTGCTGGTAAGTCTATGAGATTAGTCATACAGCAGAGTTTGGGGAGAAGCAGTAACTTGTGTAGTCCCAGTGCTTCTCATTATGGATATGGCAACTGAGGCTGATACACTGGTACAGTTACCAGATACTCGGGCCAATTACTGCCTCCATGCTTTCTCTGTAGTCCAAAGAAAGTAGGGAACAAAACTTTACAGCTTGGTCAAAGCCAGGAGAGAAAGAACCCAATTTCTACCTTGCCTGTGGCAGTCTTCCAATTCTTAGACAATCAAAAATAAAGGCTGTGAAACAGTTTAGGGGGTCTTTTCCTGGGGGAAGAGTGTCATGGCCTCAAGTTGCTTCAATTGTCTCTATTCTCAATGTGGGGTCATTGCTACTGTATCAGAGACTGTGTGTGGGTTTGAGAGCACTTTGAAGATGGGGAAAGGGGTGGAGAAGGACAAAGCTGGCTATTTTGTAATTCCCTCATGAGATGATCTTACAAGGGAGTCTGGGAGAGTCACCTGTATTAGAGCCACACTTTCCAGTGGGCTGTTCCAAAGATCTTACATAAGAGAGGGGCAAAAACATAGGTTTTCATAGGCAGTGATAGAGCAAGCAACCTTTGGATGGTCTGTCTGTGTTCAGTGTGTGTGCAGCGCTCTCAGAAGCCAGAAGACAGTATCGGATCCCCTGGAACTAGAGTTACAGATGGTTGTTAGGCACAAAATGGGTACTGGGTATCGAACCTGGTTCTTTGGAAGAACAGCCAGTGATCTTAACTCTTTGAGCTATCTCTCACAGCCCTCTTAGGATCAGTTGTTTTTTTAAACCAGGTCTGCTTACCTAATAGATCACACACCTGTACACAAATGATTGGGGAAAGCATACTTAAAAACAAGTTGCTCAAAAATTGGCCTGATGACTGTGATCTAAAGAGAATTCCTAAAGTTTGCTGGAATGAAAGCTGAGTGCAGCCATCTTCCTTTTTAATTTTGAGTGTGCAGATATTATTGAAATACTTTCAAGCCAAAGGCTTATAAAATATTTCTTTAAAATAAATTTTATGGTGGCATAAATTTTCACTAATCCCAATACAGCAGTCAATATGGAAAAACTAAAAGAAAGAACTGGGGCTTTTTGAAGCCTTCCAGGAACTGGCTTGTAGGAACAGTAGCTTAACGGCTATTTTTCAAAGAGATACCAGCAGATGAGCCACAGTCCCTAGTGTCAACCCACAATGTATTTTCCAGTCTCTTCCTTTTAAGTGCCCAACAAATGTGTCAGAGTACAAAACTAGAAGGTACCAAATTGTAGATCCTGCCTGATTTGCTTGCTAACTGAGGCAATACACACAGACAACCTCAGGTGCCATGTCTTCCTAGCTGCAACGACAGGAAGACATGACTGGATCATTTAAACATCTACGTTGTGTTTTGGGGTATCGTCTACTACTGCCTAAGAACTTTCCCATGTGGTAAGAAAGTCGACCACACACCATCTTAGAAGCAAATGAACTTCCTCTTTGTTGTACAGAATGGCTGAAGTCTGATTATCTTTCATAATCAGCCAACCTCTTAATTCAACCCAGGTTGTAGCTAAGCTCTCAATCCATGGGAGCAGCTTAGTTTAGGAGGAGAGACCAAGGTGAGTGAAAGATAGGGGTATTTGTGGGTGGAGGTACTGTACACAGGCTCGCCTAAGAAGAATTTTCTAGGTAGTCAGCACTTCTAAGCTCCAAAAAGAAAAAAAATCTGCTTTTGTAGTGTTAGGGGATGACATTTCATTGCAAAAATAAATGATTTGGTCATTACCATTTCATGGTTGCTGGCAACCACCCCCCTCTGCTTTCTAACAATTTCCATTTTAGGCACTGACAAACCCTTCAAAGAGATTCAGCCAAAAATCCACCCAAAGTTGCGTATTTGGCAGTTTCATAGGGAGAAATCTGGGGCCTCTGGGCAGAAAAAAAAATTGCCAAAAAGGGCTCCCTCCCTCTTTGTTAATTGTTAACAAACAGATCACCATAAACAGTCACAGGGCTCCGTGGGCAGCAATATGGGAAGGAAAGGGAAAGAACGGAAGTTGTTGGCAGGGCTGCTTCCTTGGCTCCATTCTTGCTCCCAGTCTTCTTGTACTTTTCCCAAAGCCGGGTGCTGCCTTAACTGATATCCCTAGCCAATGCAGGCACAGCTCTCATGAGGCAAACATTCCCTTCAGATACAAAGCCCTGAGTGGAAGTGAAAATCACAGGGCAAAGAGTCTCTGAGGCTGTATACAGGCTTTCTCAATCTGTTGGAAGCTCATCTTATCCAACTGGATGAACCTACAAGCATGCCATCACTAAGGATCTGCCTCTCTGGGAAACATCCCAGTTGATCTCTGGACCCAACTTGGGTCCCTGGGCCCCGAGGACACACAAAACCCAGAGCATGTAGGCTTGCCATTAAGAAGATGGAAACTCGGTCCTGCTTGACCAGTAGCTTCAATAGCGTGATGCTCAAAGAGATTTCACATCCATGTTCTCCT